TTTGGAGAACAAGAGGTTACTCAAGGAAAGAGGGACAGGTCTGGGACCCAGGTGCCCCAGCCCCTTCTGGCCATCCTGAGCATGTAGCTGTACTCAGGTTGGGAAGCTGCCATTGGGTAAGTTGTGAGCACTTAGTTGTAACTTTCCATTTCCAACTGCCCATGTCCAAGATTTAACAGAGCATGGCCCATTATTTTCAGTAGTGTAGGATAGTCACAGAGAAATAAGAATTTTGTTGCTTGGATATAAGAAATGAAACACTGCTGATGCAAGATGATAATGTGGTTGGATGAGCACAAAATGGTGTCCATAGGGTTTTGCAAACAATAAGTCAGTATCTAGGCCCTGGGAAATTGAAATGGGAATAATCCTAGAGGAAGGTTGGGATCCTAACTAGTGGGCAAGGTATGTAATGGGGAATCCTTCTGGGTAAGAAGCATATAGAGAACTGGCCAGGTAGCATGTGGGAAGTGGATCTCTGCTTCTTAGGTCAGGATTGTCATGGGAAGGAGATTACAAGAAAATGTTGGACCATAGTATTCTATCCATGTAAGGCACCAGAATTCTAGTCATGGCAGCAGACAAGGCATTTAGGAAGCTAGAGGACACAAAGCCCTTGAGGTTGACAGGACTCAGAGCAGGGCATGTGCACAGGTATTGGAGCTGGTGCTGCTGGTGCTGGCATATGCATGTGAGTTCCAGGGCTGGCCATGGTGAATTGTCCCTGGCCTCCAGTCAGGATGCGTCCTGGGAATGTGAACAGTGGAATCTGCCCTGGTCATGAAGAACCCCTGCTGTGGAAGGAAGAAGGAGAATTCAGAGGTAGAGGGACCTCCTGGGCCTGCCACAGAATGTGGGAATTCAGCATCAGCTTTGGAGCTACTGCCTCCCACCCACTGACCTCATTGAAACTCAGGGTCAGAACAGGGCTCAGAATGCTTCTTTTAAAGACATGGTTTACTTTCCCACTTATCATCAATATTAAACATGATTCATAGATATTCTAAAAATAAAACTGCTGGATTTTTATTATAATCATTAATAGCATTTGTAGTAATGGCCCTGTAAATCATTAATATGTTTTGACTTTCTTCCATTTTTTAGGTAAGAAGGCTAGCAGGATTTGTCAAAAAAAAAATCTTTTCCAAAAGTTTGTCTGCAACTGTCTCAACTTTTTGCCTATTTAGCATACATTCTATATTTATTTGCTGGACTGTTAATGAGGTTGGGACTGAAAGTTTTTGTATTTGGTTGGACCATATTGAAAGTACTAATATTCAACTGTTTAGAAACTACAGTTTCATATGGGTCAACATCATAGACCATGCTGTCTCTAACTTCTTTTCCTGCAGTAAAACAGTTCCTCTATGAATTAAGGAGGAATGGGAAATGGGGTGCTTGATCAGAAGAGCCAGGCATCTAACAGAGGCACTGCTGAGCCCTACTTCTCTTAGCCTGCAGTGTTTAACCTGTCTGATCTCCATCGGTAATGACCTTGAATTTCTCAGTCAGAAACTTACATTTAACCAACAGAACTTGAAGTCAGAAATTTCAACCTCTGTCAAAATTTTCTAAAGTAACTATATCTTCCAGAACTATGTTCTCCCAATATTTGGCTAAATTGAAAGATTCAAAAGTAAGTTTAAAGCGATTTTATCATACTTATGACCTCCACTTCAGCCATTTTCCCTATGTGAATAGGTTTATGATAATCATACATACTCTTAAACACTCACATGCATGCACATGCACACCAGAAAAGGTTTGAGTTTGCAAGAAGGCAGGCTAAGGTTGGGATGCCACCTCTTTTACCATAACTATTTCTCTGCAAAGAGCACAGGTGGCAATACAGGAACTGGCTTATGGTAGAGTCTCAGAACTCAAGTTCTGAGGCTTTAAACTTTGCAGACAATTATATCTGAAAGTCCCCTCATCCCCACATCTTTTGCACTTTCTTTCAACTCATCATGATCTTCTCAAATTCTTCACCAGCCTCTCCTTCTGCAAAGTATGTTTTTGACATTTAGTATTTTCTTTTGAACTTCACACTTGATTCTCTGCTGTATAATATGGAGCTGGGTCCTTACATGCCTTGCCTTGGGGCATTGGGAACTATCTCATTCGAGTAATGCTGCTGGGGTCCATTTGGACCAGGGAGACAAAGAGGAGCCAAAATGAGGTTAGGACACAGGCAAATGATTAAATGACTGGAGACATTCATTTATAAATGAGGATGGAAAAACAAACTGTCTCAGCATAAGCAAGTACTGAGCAAGGGGAGTCTATGGTTGCTATCTCCAAATGCTGGACAAATAAGGTTATAGGAGATTAAGAAGAAAGTTCACAATGATAATGATCATTAAAAGTCTCAAATTAGGCCAGACTTGGTGGCTCACGCCTATAATCTGAGCTGTTTGGGAGATGGAGGTTGGGAGGATGACAATTTGAGACCAGCCTGAGCAAAACGTTTGTGAGACCCCATCTCAACCAATAAAATTGGACATGGTGGCACTGTCTGTTATTCTAGTTACCCAGGAAGCATAAATCAGAGGATCTTGGTCTAAGCCAGCCAGGACATAAAGGTTGAGACTCTCAGAAAAATACCTGGAGCGTGGAGGTATGGCTGAAGGCACGGCTCAAGTGGTAGAGCACCTGCCTAACAAGTGTAAGACCTTGAGTTCAAAACCCCAGTATAAGCAGAAAAATAGTCTCAAATTGGGACCTAGCATTACATAGATGGACAGCAGAGCTTCTGGATAACAAACAGAATTTTAGTGAAAACACAGCTGTGCTTAAGAAGTATTTCTCCCCTCTCTAGGTTAGTGTAACACCTTTTAACTTTTCTTGGCAGAGAGTGCTTTCTGAAATCTCCCTTAAGTCTCCTATGTTGAAGTCTAAACAGATCACTGCTGCTCTGCTGCTACTGGAAATTGCATTTTATAAGGACTCCGCATGTGCTGATGTGTTTCCTCAGCCATCAAACCATGGCTGACTCAGTGCTACCTTAGCCTGTGAATACTAGCCTCTGCTTTTCTTTGCACAAGAAATATGCATGATTTCCATCATGTTCTTTTTTTTTTTTTTTTTAACTTAATTTTGGTGGTACTTGGGGTTGAACTCCAGGCCTCACACTTGCTGGGCAGGAGCTGTACCACTTGAGCCAAGCTCCCAGTCCTTTTTGCACTGGTTATTTTTGAGCTAGGTCTTACTTTATGGCTGGGCTGGCCTACACTGCAGTCCTCCTCATCTCAGCCTCCTGTGTAGCTTGGAATGACAGGGAATATTCCACCATACCCAGCTACTGGTTGAGGTGAAGTCTCATGAACTTTTTACCCAGGCTGGCCTCAAACAATGATCTTCCCTATCTCAGCTTCCCAAGTAGCTAGGATTATAGGCTTGAGCCCCCACCTGGCTCATGTTTCCATTTCTTGATAGTACTAAACACCTTTGCCCACTTCTGCCCACTTAAAATTAAGTGATTTTGGGGCTTCCTAAGAAAGTACCAAGAGGCCTTGGGAAAGTTGCTTATACTGTGTTATCTTGTTTCTTCACCTATAAAAAAAAAAACAAAACCTTAATACCATCCTTGAGTATTTAGCTATAAATATTAGAAATAATATATGAAAACACCTTCTATTATGATAGGCTTATTGTATACTCCTAAGGGTATTTGTTTATGTTTATTATAAATCATGTTTATTGGTATGTATGTCTTAAGTTCTTCACTAGATTTATATTCTCAAGCATGTAGCATGTACCCAGTTAGTCTACTATTGACTCAGTAACTGAATAGATGAATAAACAAACTGATTATTCTAATTATTATCAATTATAGAACATTCATGTAAAGGCATCCTCTTGTTTATAGCAAAGGGTGTTGACCAGTCATAATGCTGGTTCAGGTCTACCATGTCATATTAGGCCAGGCTGGTGTCATTCTAACCACCTAATCCCCAATTCCAGAGTCCATTCCAGATAGATCTAGGAACTAGAGTCCCTCTGGAGTAAGTTGTTTACAGGCCCTCCCTGGAAATCTCAATCTAACCTAAAATAGAGGGAAATTTTCTTTGATCTTGATTTTATCATGACTTAAAACAACAAAGGAAAATTGTCATTTATTCATAAATAATTTAATGTGTACTGAGTATCAGTAAGTTTACAATGAATAGGAAGTGAACTCCTAAACAGTAGCCAACTGTAGTAGTGTTGATGCATTGACATCAGCACCATTTAATGCATGTGTGTGTGTGGGGGGGGTGACTTCTCTTAGTCACAGTACTCCTCTGAGTTTAATTTGCTTTTCCTACTCCACTAAGGAGAAACTCTGAAACTTGGGCAGTAAACAACTTCCCCAGAGGAGGGTTCAGGCATCAGCCTGTGGAGGGATCCAGGTCATGTGCTCAGGCAGATCCTTCTGCCCATGACCTGTTGTCAGGCACCAGCAGCACCAAGTGTTCAGGATTTAATTTTATGGTGAGGGGCAAGGAGAGAGCCAGCTGACCTGAGCTTGGGTCCCTCCTTATTTTCCTGCAGTGTGTCCCCATACACCCTAACACAATACTCCCCAAAAGGTCATAGCAGGGTTAAGCAGAAATACATAGTGTTTCTAGACACCTGATAGAAATGTTTGTATTTAGCTGTAGAATTTGATGATGCAGGGCATCAATACCAAAGGGTGCAAACAGAGTCAAGTGCAGTGTAATGTTTTTCACTGCTTCATTGGAAGGACCTCTGCATGCTGTTCTTAGTTTTTTAAGTTTCCAAAACTGTAAATGCTGTATGTGCTGTCTGTAATACTTTGCTAACCTGTGTCTATGGTCTAGACTGGGATTTTCTCAAAAGGCAGTGTGAAAAGAAACAGTTATTTGAGTGTGTGCAGTGAGAGAAAAATGTCTCTATTCATTTTTTTAAATATTAAATGTAATTCTGTTCCAATGACAATGGATCTCTGATTTATCACTCTCATCTGACAACTGTGCTTTCATTTTTATACAAACCAGTGCTTTTGGCTGCCCTTACTCGGACATGAACTTGAAAAAGGAGGCAACACTTCATGATCGCCTGAGAGAACAAACACAGGCAAATTTGGAATCAGACTCCTCGCATTCAAAATTGAAAAACCTTTGTAGTTTGAACTTCAGTGGGAAACCTGAAAATGTGAACAGTGAGCCCAGGTAAGAAACTGAAAAATGCAAACTAGAAAGAAAACCATGTGGAATAGTAAGAGAATAAAATTGGCACTACTTCCTTATATTTCTTCAAAATAATTCTATTTCTGGGTATTATTATATTCACTGGCTCACAGAATTCAGCTAAGCCTTGTCCTTCACTTAAAAAATATTTTCTTTTGCTTCAAATACTTGAATTTACCTTTTTTCTGAATATGCAAGTTATAAATGAGCAGTAGAAAATGTGTCTCATCTTCACAGTTCAAGATTCCCTGTTACCTTGAAAACATCTTTATTTTTTGGAGTTATTTCACAAAATGTCTTGTCATTTGGCACATGGTTGACACATGGCTGAGTGTGTCCGTTGAGTCACACCAGGATTTCCTCTCCTGTTACTTGTCTTTGTCATCTTTAATCCAGACATACCTGAGGTGTGATTTCTTACTCTGAATAGTCTTCATTTTGATTCACTGATAACGCATCACCCCTTTGTTCCTAAATATAAACTTAGAATTTTAAGTGCCAGTTTTCAGTTCTTATTTACATATAATTATTTTCTAATAATTGAGTACAATCTTTTTTGATATTTTTAACCTTAGCAAGCAAATAATCTAAATATAACTTTCTCTAAAATTTTCCATACTCCATGCTGGAAATTATAAACACATGAAAATCAAACCTTAAATAAGTAACTGGAGAACAAACAGGGATTGAGCTAAGAAAGGCTAGACAGAGAAGTAGGAAGTGGGTGTTTTCCACACTACAAGTGGGTGGCATGAGGCATGCCCACGACTTTAAGGACCTTCTACAGCTGTTTGAGCTTTGGAGGGGCTGCTCCTTCTCCTAAACTTCAGAGCTTTGCTCTTTGCGTTTGGCATGTGGGCATGGAAGTTTCCCCTGGAACAGCCTCTGCAGATTCACACCCCAACCCCAGTAGGACTGGGGCTCCTTCACCCAATGGGGGACACCTGTTCTTTGGGAGAGTTTGGCTGGTAGGAGACAGTTTTCACTTGGATTTTACATCCTGGACTATGGAATTTGTTTTTCATGCAAATATTTTAGAACTTTTGGGTGACATTCCATTTTTTGTTAAGTAGCTGTTTTGATTTTGATGGCTCTGCACACAACTGCTTTCTCTCTGTAGCATGATCCATTTCATATGGATACGCTTGTCTCTATTTTTGTAGCTGTATCTTGCATTTATTACTTGTTACACACCTACTCCTCTTATGGAAACTTCACAGGGTCTAGTTGTTCTTTAGTGTTCATTCACACCCACACTGTTTACAACTTTAAGGAGTTGGGAGCTTGTACATCCTTTCCATTTCTTGGTTGAGGGACAATGTTTTTTCTTTAACTGTTTTCCAAAGAGCAGTGTTCATTTATTCCAGAATCATAGAGACCAGTGCATCCATTTGCCTACATTCTTTTTGTTACATTCTGTTGTATTTTTCCAAATACAAACCTAGTCACTCTCTCTTGTAAATATTTTAGACATTCATCCTCAATGTAAGAAACCGCAGAGTCTAAGCACATCTTTGAACTGCTTTAAAAAAAATTATTACACTTGTCATATTTTCTCAGAGGTTAGCTAAGCTATTCTTTCCAGCAAACACAGATATCTTGCCTCTAATCTTAAACTCTTGGAATTTCCCCATTGCAATATATTATTAGATACTTTGCTATTTCTGAAGAGTCTCTGCACTGAAATATGTATCAGGAAGATATAATTACTACAAATACAAAGAAAGAGCAGAGAATCAAGAAGCAACATCAAGATGATCCTATTGTGCCTAATCCTATTTCATGTACTTACAGAAGTGTGTAAGTAGCCGAAGGAGGCAGGAGCCAGGGGCATGCCTAGATACACAGTGCATGTTCTGAATCTGTCTTTCACAGTTCAAATCTCAAGACCAAACCTACCCTTGTACTCCAAGCATTGTTTATTTTTCTCTTCTAACCAATCATCATAATAATGCTTGGATGCATAGTGTTAGCAATCACAGTTGCACCCTCTTTGAATCATCTCCATCTCCATAACATCCTATTTTGTAGTCTTGAACTCCACAGCAAGGGATGATGTGTAGGCTAATAATGTACAGATCAGACATAGCTCACTGTCCTCACAGTTTCCGGAGGCTGCCTTTGCTCTACTCCAAATCTTTGCTCTTGAAGCCACAAGAATGCTGAGGGGAACATTTAAGTTCCATCTTTTCTCTGCAACCTTGGCTCCTTTCCAAGGATAGGGGTGGAGTTTACATTGGTGAAAGTTGGAGCTGCTGGTTTCCAATCAGTCTGTCCCTTCCCCGGCTGGACATGCTCAGTCATTTCTTAAGCAATCAACTCTTGTCGCCTTAAAATCTCCAGGCATCTTGCAATGTAAGCACAAAATATAACAACTCCTTTTAACATTCTTCTAAAGTCAATTAGACATTGTCTGATTATTCAGAGGATTTTGTTTTTTTCCTTAACAATGTCCCAGTTTTTGATTATTTTTATAAAGTATATTTGCTCTCATATTAATCTTTGAGGGGTAGTTGTAAGTAAATTTATGACTCCATCTCATGGTTTAGGTATGGAAACAGTCTATTCATTTTTGGTTTTTTTTCTTTGCAATACTGGGGCTTGAACTTGGGGCCTTACATTGCTAAGCAAGTACTCTACCATTTGGGCCACACCCGGTACTTTTGCTTTTAGTTTGTTTTTCAGATATGCTCTCATGCTTTTGTCTGGCCAGCCTTAGATCACAATCCTCTTACCTCCACCTCCTGAGTAGCTGGGTTTATAGTTGTGCAACACCATGCCTAGCCCCATATTCACATTTTTAAAAATAAAGCATCACATTTTAAAATTAAGTAGGTTATATACTACTAGGTATTTACGGAATTTATGTTATATTCATAACATGTTATATTCATGTTATATTAACTTTCAGGAGTCAGACTCACAATAGGTTGCAATTATTGAAAAGCTATTTACATATGTATATAGTTTACATAAAGTTATATATATTCCTTTTCAGTTTATCAAAAAGCATATGTATATATTCTTTTCTCTTTGTTGATAGACTAAGTAGTGGTGTATTCATGGTGCACTAAAGGCAGCAAATGCCCTTGTACTTGAGTTTGTTGCTTTACAGGGGAAAATAGTGTTAATGTGTTTAACACCTTATAGTTTGCACCTACAATACATTTGGACCCTTCTATAAGCTTGTGACAGAGGAAAACAGAGATTATTATAACAGCACTGCCATTTATAGCAAGGAATGCTATATGTTGCTGACCTGGGACCCAAGCATAGGTCTTCTGGTGAAATCCAGTGTATTTCTGTACAGCAAACTAATAATAACACCAGAAGTATCACAACAATAATAGACACACTTCTTTTGACCTAAGCAGTTTACTTTGCACCATCTTGTTAATTTTATTTCATCCTCCCAACAGCTCTGTATGTGATAGTTTTCTCATTTCAGTTTTATAAAACTGGCACCTGAAGGTTCAGAAAGGTTAGGCAAGGCATCTAAGATCATGCATGTAGTCAGTGGGAAAGTTGGGATTTGAGTCCAGAACTTACTGAGATCAAATCCCCTCCACATTTAACTGCATTGGTTAGCAGAAGAGTGATGACTTATGGATTTGAGAAGGCCTGGCTGGGTTTGCATTCAGTCTGTTCACTACTCCTGTGTAGGATTCTCAGATCATTTTACCATGACAGTATTTCTTGTTTTGTGAAAATAGAGCTAATGAACGGGAGGGTCGTACCATGTTTTCCCCAAAGTGTCTACTCCTATTTATGTTACTTATAATACAAAATGTTCCACCTTGAACACATTTCATTATAAAATACTAAAGGCTTCTATCTGTAATATAAGATTAAAATTGGAGCTATTATAATATTTCATCATAAACAAAATTACTTTAGAATGTAACTGCCCCCTGTATTATCTGTTAGCACTTTTCCTAAGCCCTATAGAGAGGACTTTTTTTTTCAGGCTTTTCTCACTTATCTAAGTGTTCTTTAATAACTTCTTGTACCTCACCAAACCAGTGTTTAGTATAGTATTCAAATTCACATTCACTGAAATACCTGTCATTCTCAGCCACGGATGGTAAGAAAACCTAAGAAAAGGCCTAATACAGCTCACTTTGTTTTCCCTGATGCCTGACATCTTATAAATTTTAGGCACTTCACAAAGGCGTATCTTGGTAATGGAAGTGGCTGGGGGAAATAATGGGAATCAGGTAGCAGCGCACAGTGGAATAGGTCCTTAATGATCCCAATAATAAATTGCACTGGCACAAGCCAACTCATTTATTTTCACCACTCAAATTAGCTGCAGCATAAAATACCTTCTACAAGGGCCATTCTCAGAAGCAGTGGTCGTTGGTTCTCCCACATATTAACCTTCCAAGTTAGTAAATAGGTTTTTTTTAATCCATCAGGCTTTTCTCACTTCTTCCCACATGAAGAATTCTGCTCCAGGCAGAATTTGCCCCCATCACCATCATCCACAGCATTGTTTTCACTCCAGCACTATCTTTGTTGCCATCCTCTGTGCCACCTTCGCTCCTGCCAGTAGCTTCTCCCTTCCCCAAGGCTCAGCTCTGTCTGGAAGTTTTCTAAACAGCTCTGACTTGCATGATCTTCTAGAGAAAGAGATTTGTATGTTACATGTGTCTGTGTTTCTGACACCTAGTAGGCACTCAACAAATGAAATAGGTTTTGAGCATCCACTGTGTGCCAGGGACTATAGTAGCCTTGGGATACAAAGTGACAAACTATTACTGCTGCCCTCAGTATTCCTCCGTCTTTTTCGTCTGTGTCACATGTAGGTAGCTTATTTGTGTATCTTCATGTACTTTCTCAGTGTTTGTGTATGTATGTACCTATTTTCTTAAAAAATCTGGAGGCTGCCAAAGGGAAGAACCAATGTTCATTATCTTTTGTTTTTTCTTCAGTATTGTTCAGTTTCTAGGCTCTTAGCATACCTAAGTCCATTCATTCAG